TCTAGGACTGTTAGTACTTCGCGTACCGGTTCGTTCCTTTCTGAACAGCCTAGCGCTGATGTCAAATGATGTCTTGGTCACGTGCAGAGGTGAAAACGTGAAAATCTGTGACAGTACCCCCCCTTCTAGACAGTTCGTCCCGAATCTGGCTTTTTACGCAGTTTCTGGAAGTTAATTATCACCTGTTGAACCAAATCCACGGTGACCTCGGGCTGAGGGTTTGAGGTAATCAACCAGTGAAACGACAGGGGTGATAATACGTTCAATGATAACTCAATCACCCAAATTGACTGTGAAGTCATCATTTGTATTATTGATTAGCAAAATCTTGATTTCGCCTGTGTATCCTTTGTCGATAACATCAGCACCTACGTCGATGCCTTTGACAGCTAACCCACTTCATGGTGCAATTCGACCATAGGTCCCTAGAGGTGTTGTAAAGTGAAGTCCTGTGGATACCAATCCTCTTGAGTGTGCTCGGATGGTTGTTGGTTCTGATGTGGCTAAATCCATTCCAGCATCGTCTTCATGGGCATATTTTGGTGTGTGTGCATTTGGATTATCTAATGTAATTTGAAGATCTCTAGAATGATCCCAATCATCTCTATCCTGATCGTATATCTGAATGGTATCAGTGGCGGGGTCGTAGACTTGACCTGTTCTCCTGGGTGGAAAAACGCCATCGACCGGAGTTGTATCAATGAGAGATATTGGTTGAGGTGCGTCAGGATATTTTCTGTGAAATTCCTTGATGAGACGCGGAGATTTCTTCAAATTTGCTGCGGGTTCCCAAGTTTCTTCAGCTTTAGAATAACCCTTCCAATGCACCAAATATTGAAGTTTGCCACGAATGACACAAGAGTCGACTATGTACTTGACTTCCCATTCTTCGCCAGTCTTCTTCTTGATAGGAGGACGGGGTCTGAGAGTGCGGTCTGGTATTTCATCTTTGTGGTAGAGCGTGAGCTTGGACGCATGAAAAACTGGATGAACGCCGTATTGTCGCGGCATTTTGAGTCTATATGTGACTGGTCCTAGTTTTTCTACGATTTCGAAGGGTCCATCTCTCCGTTGTGCCAATTTGGCTCCCGATGTCTGCCAATCTCTAGTGGAGAGTAATACTTGATCTCCAACTTTGAAAGGTGCGGGTCGTACGGATTGATCGTAGTACCACTTCATGTGCTCAGCTGCCAATAGAATGGCTGCTTTTGCTTGCTCTTG